GTTGAACTTTCTCAGTGTCTTCCCTACCTTCATTAAAACATACACTTTTCACCTTTCTACAACAAGCTTCACACCTTACTGTTTGTATTCTTCCTGATGAATGTGACAAGGGAAGACAAAGATACTGTGCAATCACCCGGGCACAAGTCAGTATACTCCCCTTAAGAAGGGACATAACCTCTATTGAAAGTAAATTTTGGTTTCATAATCACCTTTTTTCCAGGCAACCTGGAGTTTTTATTTCTGCTGTCTAAGAAGTGAGAACTTACAGCTTTTGAGCTCGTCATGCCTCTCATTTACTGAGTGCCTTTATGTTCTGAAGGTCTGTGCCTTGGTTTTCCTCTAATTGAAATGTGGACAAAATTATTCTGCCCTAGAATCACACAATTGCCAGAAATGTTCAAGCCCAGGGTGGCTTCCATTTTGATAGAAACTGAAATGTTGCAGTGTTGACTCTAACCTTGCCTCTCGTCCTATGTTAATTTGTCCTCAACTCTGGAACTTGGATGATACAGGTTAAACAGATATTTTCTGAGCATCCATTCCGTACCCGGTTCCTTGTTCAATGATGGAGGTGCAACTGGGATCATGATAAAGCCCCTGCGTTCAGTAACCTTCAGTCTTGTGGGGTGACCCCTTCCCTCTTTTGAGAATTGCTCAACCAGCTCCTAGTTTATTCTGATTGTGCTTCATTCATTCACCCATTCATCCAGCATCTGTTAGGTTCCGGGCACAGTGCTTGTTTTCAGGCTACAAAGATGAGGAAAGGAGGTCAGCCCTACTCTCAGGAAGGTTCCAGTCCCTATTTGAATTAATTCTCGCTCCTGGCAGCCACCAGAAAGAACATCACTCTTCTCTTGGAGCTCCCTCGACACAGTGCATGCCTCTTTTCAGCATTTGCGTCATTGTGATTATAATACATCTTTCTGTCTCCTTTCAAGTCATGAGCATCTGGAAGGTAAATGCCTTACACTCCCTGGTGTCTAGCACACAAAGAAGCTCAATAAATGTTTTTTGAATGAACAAATAATTTTATGAATTTACAAATTCACGAACCTATGGAACCATAGACCGGTCTGCCCTGACCTTTTCTCCCATGTTTCTTGGATGAGAAACTCAATGCTACATCAATCATCTGTCAATACTGAAACACTCCACGACTTCAAGGACCTTCTAAACATAAAACCACGGGCACCAGCTGGTCCACGGGTCATTTCTTCTTCTAAATGTACCTGCCACTGAGATAAAGGACAAATAAAGCTTTAGCTTGTGTTTACAATACTGTTTTTTTTGTAGGAAGGCAAATATGATTACATATGATTTAAATGAAATAAACTTCTAATAAGGAGAACAAATTAGTTTATTTGTGACTCTTGGATATATAGTTAATATAGTTTCAGTAGGAAACATATAATCACAATGGCTAAAAGATTTTCTCCTCTGTTGTGTAAACCGGGAACAGCCTGCTATGGACGTTCTGCTCCATGAAACCCTCCCCTCACGGCGGCACCATCGTGCCCTAGGATATAGCTCACAGTGCAGGATGGGCTCCAAGGTCACATTCACCTCCGTGCAGCAGACTGGAGGGAAGGGGGATGAAGGGACTACAACCAACACCAGCTCTCTCGTAAGCAAAGGTCCCTGGAAGCTGCCTACAGGGCACTTTAACTGACATCTCATTGACTAAAACTTAGTCCTATGACCACACATAATTATAAATGAAGTTGAGGAAAGTAGTCTTTTTATTTTGAACAACCACTTGTCCAACGAAAAAACTACTTTACTGTGGCGAAAAAAAGGAGTATAGTTATGAGGGATACAATTAGTATTGTATCATATAGTATCATATAGTATCACAGATACTATTACTGAAGTGTTAGTGGTTATTCAAGAATTCTTGTATTCTAACTATTGCAGGCTGAGGTGACAATGACGAACTCCAATTGTTAATCCACTGTGTTACAATCACACTTGGTACTGCTCTGGTTGTCCATATCTAGGAGATGAGGGGAGTGAAAAAACCTTTTGCAACAAGGAAGTTGGGGGGGGGGGGCAATGACAAAGGAATGGATGGGGGAAGGCAGAGTGGAAGAGATGATGGAATCAACAGGACAAAGAGATTGGATAGTGGAGGAAAGAGGGAGGAAGACTCTGGAATGATTCTCAGCTCTGAAAGCAAATGGTTACCTAGTAATTGGACTAAAAAGTGTGCATTGGAGACTACTTTAGACTGATGGAGTTAACCACTGCAAATTGACCGGAAATCTCTCCTTCATCTGTTACTTCTTGCCATGAATTTTCTCTTGAAAAGACTAATGAAGTTAATAAACTTCTCTGAGTAGTTAATCTTTCATAGGAAAAAATTAACATGTCTTTGTGATCTACCCTAGCCAGTTATAATGTTCCCTCTCCTAACTGAGTACACTGCACAGGACTCCTTAAAATGCTAAGTTCTTGAGACATTCGTAATTCAGATACCAAAACTTCTCACTTGAGTAAGCTATTTGGAGAATCTATTGCCCCAACTAGAAAGTAGAGTTGGAATTGCCATCTCGACAATTGCGGATTTTCCAATACATTGCATGTTTAAAGGACCTGACTTCATGACTGGTTCAATAAATGTTAGTGTCTGTCGCTTTCCAAAGTACTTTTTAAAAATGTACTCATACAAACATTTATTCAGCAGTTACTATTTGACATACTGTGCTAAATGCTGGGAGGAAAGTTGGATTTGGCCATTGAAAACAAAGTTGTGATGTTTTTTGCCACTCCTGCTGTTAAGGTCAATTGTGATCCTCTACACCATTGGGCCCGCCCCTGGACTGGGGATTCCTGAAGTCAGGGCACACACATGTGTTTGTTACATTGGATTCCCAGGCCTTAGCGCAGGTACTCATCAAATGTATGACTGAATAGATGACCAAGGCTCAAGGAATGAAGCCAAAATGCCTAAGAGCAGGACTGGAGTTAGAGAACTAGGCTGGTCATGGGTGTTCAGACACTACCGGAGGCAATTCCGTGAATGCTGAGTATCTGGTGGGTGCTGCTTCTGCATGGGCTCCGTGCCCTGATCTAGAGTGGCTGTTGGAGGGGCTGGGGATCTTAAGAGTCAGGGGGAAGCCTGTGACAATGATTAAGAGTGTGGGCTCTGGAATCAGACCTTTATGCGTATAATTATAGTAAGTGTAATGAATCTTTTAAGATTCATTAAAAGGCTATAACAGGTAGATCTACCTGGTCTGAGGGGTCAGGGAGGGCCTCCTTTGCTATATGTTGCTCACTGCACATCTGAGGTGTTGGCACAGGTGGGATCCAGTCTGTGTTCCTCTCCCCAGGCAGTAGGTTCACCTTGGCCCAAGACTGTGTCTGCCTCGGAGTTCTTTCTCCATTTATTCAAAGGCCCCATAATTTGCCATGCCTTCCCCACCTGCCACCCCTCAGCCATGCCTCCAAAGTTATGGGCATCTGAAAGTTGAAAGATAAGCAGGTATTTTCCAAAGTTTAGGCCAGAGGGACCAAGAGGGGGAACAGCATGTATGAGGCCTGTGGGGATTTATAAAAAGCCTGGTATATTTGAAAATCTGAAGAAAGTTCACTATGGCTGGAGTGTGGAGTTCAAAGGGAAGACTAGCAAGAGTGAGGCTGGAAAAGTACTCATGCAGCTAGCATTTTCTGTAAGTTTACTCTTTAAGCTGTGCTAATGGATCTCTGTGCATTACTTTATCGAGATCCCAGAGGTTAAGTGAGTTGCCCAGGATCATACGTTAGGAAATAGTGGAACTGTGATGCAAAGCCAGGTTTAACTCCAGAGACTGTGCTTCAAACCACTTGTTCCATGGCATCCAAAGATTTGCAATGGTGAATTGCCAAGGAAAAACTGTAGAAGGGAAGGCTAGTTAAGGAATACTTGCAGAAATCCAGGCAAGAAATGTTGGTGGACTTCAGATGGCCTTGGAAATGGGGAGGAGTGGATGGATTGCAGAGAAAGTGAGGAAGTAGAATCTACGATACTTGGTGCTTGTTTGCATACGAAGGAGAAGGATGAGAAGAGAGGAGGCGAGGATGACTTCTTATTTTGTATCTTTGTGGGTGGCACGTCATTTGCTGAGGGAGGAACTGGTGAGGGAGGCACAAGTTTGGGAGGAAGGTGAGTTTAGAGATTCCAGGTTGGAAGCACCTGTGGGACATTCAAGTGGAGATGTCTAGCTGAGGGTTGGTGGCTTGGGCTTGAAACTCAGGAGAGGCAGTTCAGTTAGCTGACATCAACGTGCAGCATGCCTCCACAGAGGGACCGCTATGGCAGGAAGAGCAGCGAGTTCCTGCTGGGACAGCCGTGCAGGAGCAGAAGGACTTTCCCTGGATCCAGCTGTTGAGCTCTGTAGAGCATAACCAGACCCTTAATTTAAACAAGTCCTTTTCAAAGACGATTCTTCAAAGGTTTGTGGAATAGGACAAAAACCTTCTTCCAAGGGTTTGTCCTATTACAAACTGTAATCAGAGATCTGTGATGAGGAGGCACAAAAAAGGTAGGGGGCTACCATAATAAGTATACAAGAATATGTGGCCTTTTCTGACATTTTTGTTCAATTTAAAGTCAGATTCAAACTTAAATATGACTCATTCTACATTTTCTATAAAAACATTGCTGAATAAAGTATAATTAATGTTATTATTCTACAAGGAATGCCAATTCTGTATATTATTTACACGGAAGAATAAATGAATTAAAATCCAGTGGCAACTTCGGGGAGGCCTTAGCTTACCAGTGGTCTCTTTAAAATGTGGCCCTTACAACTGAACAGAGTCCTTCTCCCACATGAGCAATGAAAGTTTTCTGTATCTTACATGAAGTGCTATAAAAACGAGATCCTGAGCCAAGCCTTCCCCACCTGCTACCCTTCAGCCTCTCTAAATAGAAATCTGGAGTTGCCTGTTGCAGTCATCATACCAAGATGAGACTTGGGCTTAGTTGAATTCACTTTGTCTCTCTCTTCTTTTAGAAAGCGTCACAGACAGTCTCTACATGATGTGGCATCTAAAGACTAAAGAGCCATCCACCTCACTAGTCCACAGTGAGAAGGCGAGACTCGGGATTCAAACACCACGACTCCCATTCTGCTATTAATCACTCTGTAGACATGTGCCCCCACCACAGGGAGTGAACTGCACCAAGGGGGAACGTTCTTGGGGTCCCCAAACCTCCAGCACTTCTTCCAGCACTTCTTGTCTCTCTCCCTGGAGAGAAAACAACTATGGCACTTTATAGCGGCTGTCTGATCCTCTTGGCATTTACCTGGCACACTTCTGCCTACGGGCCCGACCAGCGAGCCCAGAAGAAAGGGGACATTATCCTTGGGGGACTCTTTCCTATTCATTTTGGAGTAGCAGCCAAAGATCAAGATCTAAAGTCGCGGCCAGAGTCTGTGGAATGTATCAGGTAAGGAAAGGAGCCAAGTCAAAGAGTCTCTTCTCTGCTGGTGGATGGAATCAAGCCGTACCAAACCCAAAATGATTTCTTCAGACTTGGTTCTCTCTTTTCAAAAGTGGTGATTTGAAATCATGCTGAAATGTATTATTCCTTCATCCTCGACTTTTTTAAAGGATTTTTTTCCAAAAGTGAAATGTCAGTGATACGAAGTAGAAAAATCCATAAACTAGGCACAATTCCCTCCAACAGGATTTGCAGAGTCCAATGGACTGTATATCACCTTTCTTAATCCGGACATCAGGGCCCATTACTGCACCCCAAGTCCTGACCCATCTCCTAAGAGAGAATAACACTTTCTTTATGAGGCCTGCGACTTCCAAAGTGACCCTTCCTTGGTCTTCCTAGAAGCTGGAAAATGAAAATTAAAACTAGGATCGTTCCAACGAAACTAGATTTCTGTCTCAGTTCTCTGAGATCTCACAAACTAGATAACATTTTCACAATTTTCTTATGAATGCAGGAAAAGTAAGTGGCGAGTTTTACTGATCCTGATTATGTCCTTCACAGAACCCACATGACAAAGGCCCTGTTTGTTGTTCCCTGCTGGACAGTTGTGCACGTGTCACATAAGATTAAGAAAGAAGCTTGGCCTTAAATAATACATCTTTTTAATTATATTAAACAAAGATAACAAAATTAGCTTAGCAGTATAGATGTTTTATATAATAAAAAATTCTATATCTCTTAATAATTTTGCAGGTTTTAAACATATAATTAAGTACCAGAAACATAAAGAAAAGGACTATGAGAAAAGATCGCATTAAAAGTTAGATCAGAGCCCTTAGGCCCCTAAATGATACAGTGGGTAGAACAGATTGTGTTTCTTGCTGCCTGTCATTGAGCTCAAGTGGGACAGCCCACGATGGAGGGAGAACCTACGCAGTTGCTCTCCGCACTGATACACTGGTTCAGCACATTTATCGAGCCCTCACTCCGAGCCAAGTCCTCGGAGAGTAAAACTATGTCACAGATCCCATTTCTCTGCGTTAATTTGCTTGATTTTTACTTAAAACCATGTTCTTTAAAAAGCAGTCCATGCTCAGCTTTTAAAATAGAAAATATAAATAAGTCAAAAGCACACAATTTTAAAACTCAGATTCTACCACCGAGAAACAACCAGTTTCTGAAGTCTTCCTGTACATAACATTTGTTTGTTTGTTTGTTTACAAAGATGAGATTACTTGTTTCCCTTTCCTCTTTGACCTCCACGACTGTCATGCTCTAAATTTGTGACTTTGCAAATCGAAGGTTATTCTTGGGCTCTCACGTGTTAAAATCCTAATCTATTTTTATTTTCCCTAATCCTTCTTCTTTTTAAATATCTGTGTTTACTAAAGTACCTCACATCAGCTAATTCAAATTCTTTGCTGCATGAGGCTAATACCAGTCTTCATTCTCATTGCTCCCTAACTCTGTGAGGCACCATGCTGAGACTTTTGCATAATTACCTCCTGTTTGCAGCCACTCGATGAAGGTGTCATCCCCATTTACAGGGAGAACCTTGAGCCCCAAAGAACACACTGTCGTGAAACCAGAAATTAACAGAGCCAGGGTTCCAACCCAGCTTCACCCAGTCCTTACTTTTCTTCCACTGCTTTCTTCCAGGTATAATTTCCGGGGATTTCGCTGGTTACAAGCCATGATATTTGCCATAGAGGAAATAAACAGCAGCCCGGTCCTTCTCCCCAACATGACTCTGGGATACAGGATATTCGACACTTGCAACACCGTTTCCAAAGCCTTGGAGGCCACCCTGAGTTTTGTGGCCCAGAACAAAATTGATTCTTTGAACCTCGATGAGTTCTGCAACTGCTCACAGCACATCCCCTCCACCATTGCTGTGGTGGGGGCCACTGGCTCCGGCATCTCCACGGCAGTGGCAAACCTGCTGGGGCTCTTCTACATTCCCCAGGTACCCGGGCCTTCTGAGACGGGGCAGCGTGGGCTGGGGCCGGGAGAACCAGGCTTGGAGGACTGCCGTGCCCAGTGTCCAGTTTGCTCTTTTCCTTTAAATGAGTGGGGACACTGGATCATGACCATTTGGGATTTCTGAGACCCCCCCCATGTCAACATCAACTAGACCTTCACAGCTCTTCAAAAATTCATTTAAATATACCTTATATAAAACTTTGTGGCTACCTTTTATTTATTTATTTATTTATTTTTATTCCTTGTATAAAACTTTTTTTCCCCAACGTGTTCAGCACTTTATTTCCCACTCTGTTCCTTTAACAAATGACCTTTTTTCTGCCTTTACTAAGAGAACTGAGACCATATGGTCTCTTTCAAATATGGACCACAAATCCATTCTTTCAAACCCCAAATATGTCCCTAATCCTATTTCCTGAAACAGTGCTGCCTATCAACCATCTGGTTGAAAATTTAGCTCAGAGGGAAGCAAAGCATATTTTCTCACAAAACAGGAACTTAGTTACTATGTTGCACATTCTAGAAATAGAAAATATTCTATTTCACTCAACAACTGTTTATCGAGTGCACATGAAGAAGCAGACTGTGCCTTGCAGGAAGTCAACCTGGGTGGGGAGGCGTCTGCAGTTGCAGTGAGTTGCACATTCACTGAAGCAAGTGCTTTTATAAACATTTATTCAAAGTTGCAAATTTTTTCGCCAAAACACCCCCAGAAAACTCTAACTGTCATTTTATTACAACCTGATTTCCTCCCTTAACACTATAGAGCAAAGCTTTTTCATGTTCATATTTATAGATCTATGACCTCACTCTATAACAGCGAAAAGTTGGAAACAACCTGAATGTCCATGGGTGGGAGAATCAGCTCAATTGTGTTACATTCCTTATATCAGTTTTTAAATTAACTTATAAATCACACTTAATCAAATTTAAATTTATTTTTTTCATGTTCAGTATTTAAAATTTATGAAGTATGCTTGATAAATTCACATTTCTCTGTTGTGAGGTCTTTGTTTGGTGATGGCCGTTATCCTTTTATATACATGTGACAACTGAGAAAGTCTTGTCATCATTTCCCGAATATTTACTTCAGGGAATTAAAGGTGTTTCCCATGGGGAAGCCCTGGCTCTATAACTTTTGGGCTTAAAATGGTCTAACAAAGCCCACATCAGTGAAGGTGTTGGGCAAGATACAAATGTGCATTTTGTAGATTCGGAATATGATGCAGTATTATTTTCAATGCACAGTTATCCCACGGCTAACAGGTATAAGAGGTTATTATCATCAAGAGAGAACATGAAGGAGACGATTTTAATTTTTTGTGGTTTGAATGAAAGATAACGTTAAGCTGAATTTAAATTTTAAAAGTGCTAAGAAGACTAGAATGGTTAACAGTCACAGAGACAGTTAAAACAGAACACGATGAGAACTTAAGCGAAATTCCAACACTCATTTTATGGTTTAGTCTAGCTTTGTATTTTTTAATTACACACAAGAGAGACATTCTAATCTTTTCATTTTTATAGAACTTCTGAAGATAAAAGTCTGGTCTCACATCTTCCATAGTCATTCATGTCTTGCATATGTACCTCGATATTTCTTTTTTGTTTTGTTTTTATTTAAGTATAGTTGCTATACACTACTATATTAGTTTCAGGTATACAGTATAGTGGTTCTGCATTGATGTACCTTTCAGTGTGGTCACTGCACTAACCCTAGTAACCATCTGTCGCCTCATGGGTATCAGTGTGTTCCCAGCAATGGCTCTCTGCTCTGGCTGCGTGCTGGAATCGGTTGGAGAGTTTTAAAAATACTGATGCCTGGGTCTTATTCCCCAGAGATCCTGGTTTCGTTGATATGAGATGCAGCTTGGGCATTGGGAATTTTGAAAGCCCCCAAAGCCATTCTTTTTCTTTTTCTTTCTTTTTAATGAATGTTTTTTATTTAGTTGTCCAAGGCAATTCTAACGTGCAGCAGAGTTGGGAACTGCGGCTCTGCAGGGCGGGGTTGGTGGCATTTCCAGGCCGCTGGCGCCACCAGGTGGATGAAACAAGCAGACCAGCTAGACTCTTCTAACCATTGTAATTGTGGTTAGGACAGTTTTCTGAATCACCCATGAAACTCTCCCCTTTCACAATGAGAAAAAAATTTCTGTGTTTTTAAGGGTTTTTTAGGGGCAGGGGGTGCAAGGTGGTGTTTACCACCAAACTGGACAAATGTTATGAATGCATCCTTTAAGAGAAACAAACACACCGGGGAATATTTTGTTTTATTTTTATTCCTTTAAAACCATTTTTAGCCCACTTTTCAAATAACCAAGAAGTAAGTAATAATGGATGGATTTACAAAATGCCAAACTAGGTTTTTCATTTGTAAAACCCTGATTCAGGAGCCTATTGGTTGGGTCTACAAGTAGAGCTTTCTTAAAAAACAATAACATCTCAACAAATTATTTTTATCTAACTACCTCATTAACTCCCAGAGTAGAGCAAGAAGGGGCTTGCTCTAATCAACAAAAAAATTGTCAAGTTCATATTATAACTTCCAAACAACAACAACAAAAAAACCCCCTGCCCTTTAGCAAGGTTGGCCTGGTTCTTTCATTGATCAATGCATTTTATGTTTCTGATATAAAAACTGTTCATTAATAAGAAAGAACATATTGGGAAAATTCATTTTAAAACACTGAATATAGAAATTGTCTCAACTGGCAATAAATATTGAAAAAGGCATTCCCTCAAATATCTTTAACTTTGTATTCTTAAGAAGTTCAAAAATCTTTCTAGATAACTAGAGAACAAGTGATATTAAATACCCCTCATTACTGAGAAGAAATTTCGTGGAGTATAAAAATGCTTTGCTCTTCAGAAGAAATGGTCCAGTAACTCGGAACTTCCTAACTAGTGAGTTAAGACACGCAGCAGTGCTACAGGTGGGCCACGGCCTGCCAAGATACTGATTCCCTCAAAGTTTGGGATGGCTGGGCAGGGTTGAGGGCAGTCACAGTGTCCCCTCCCTGGGTGGGTAAGCCTCTTCCATTGACTTCAACTTCTATGTTTGCCTCAATGTGGGGGAAAAAAAGTTGAGAAGCTCTGTACTAAGAAATGATTTACGCGATATTCAGATACTTCTTCAGGCAATGAGCTTATACTGTCAAAGGTAAAGCTTTCTTCCCTTGGTGGCCCACACCCATGCTCAAATGTAGAACTGACTATGTCTAAGAAAGTGGGAAAATAGCAAGGCAGCTCCTCTGGGGTTCCTTTTCAGCCTCTCTAGGTGTTAGAGACTCACATCAAAAGCCTGTCAGTTGAACCCACTGAGAAGCCACAAGAGGAAAGGATGCTTTTCTGGCTATATTTCAGGATGTGTGCCATTGTTACTGTGCTGCAGGGGAATTGAGCCTCATAAACCTAATGGCTAATTGAGCCCGAAAGATAAACAGTTCTTAGAAATGACTGCAATGGAGGGTACTTTTATCTAAAGTACTGTGGGGAAACCAGAAGGGGGGATGGGAGAGGGAAGAGAGTGAAGAGCTGGAAACTGGGAACAGATGGGAAGCGAGAAACCAGGCAGACTAGGAAAGGGGAACCCCTTGGGGCTCCTCTGAAGAGATTTAGGTTCACAACCCAAAGGGAACCTGTACCTTCCAGAAGTGAGTCATGGACAAAGTGTTCATCACAGTAAAGGGGAAGCTGAAATGTTCAGGTTAGAACCAGGACCCAACAGTCAGAGGATGCGTACATGGGTATATTATAACCTGTGAGGCAGTACAGAGAAGGTTAGGAGAAACTAGGGAACAGGGCATATACGCTCTCCTTGAAAGAATAAATAGATCCCACTATTGTTGGATTGACTCTATGGCCAGACCCGTGTTTGAAGGTAGAATTGTGAAGACCCACCCACTGGGCATTAGAATGCTCCCTGATAGATAGACAGCTTGGATATTCACACTGGAAAGGAACAGATTCTAGCCGTCTTCACCCTTTTATCGCGTCTGCAGTGAATGACACGTTTGATAAATTGTGTTAATAAATGCTCCACAAGCCACCTCCATGCAGCCTTGAGGCTCACCCAACACCTCCCTCATTCATTCATTGTGTTCTATATTCTTTCCAGGTCAGTTATGCTTCCTCCAGCAGACTCCTCAGCAATAAAAATCAATTCAAGTCCTTTCTCCGTACCATTCCCAATGATGAGCACCAGGCCACCGCCATGGCAGACATTATCGAGTATTTCCGCTGGAACTGGGTGGGCACCATTGCTGCTGATGATGACTATGGCCGGCCAGGGATCGAGAAGTTCCGAGAAGAAGCTGAGGAGAGGGACATCTGCATTGACTTCAGCGAGCTCATCTCCCAGTACTCTGATGAGGAAGAGATACAGCACGTAGTAGAGGTAATCCAGAATTCCACAGCCAAAGTCATCGTCGTTTTCTCCAGTGGCCCAGACCTTGAACCTCTCATCAAGGAGATCGTTCGGCGCAATATCACGGGCAGGATCTGGCTGGCCAGTGAGGCCTGGGCCAGCTCTTCTTTGATCGCCATGCCGGAGTACTTCCATGTGGTTGGAGGCACCATCGGATTTGCCCTGAAGGCTGGGCAGATCCCAGGTTTCCGGGAATTCTTGCAGAAAGTCCATCCCAGGAAGTCTGTCCACAATGGTTTTGCCAAGGAGTTTTGGGAAGAAACATTTAACTGCCACCTCCAAGAAGGTGCTAAAGGACCTTTACCCATGGACACCTTTCTGAGAGGTCAAGATGGTGGCCAGATAAGCAACAGCTCTACTGCCTTCCGACCTCTCTGTACAGGGGATGAGAACATCAGCAGCGTTGAGACCCCTTACATGGATTATACACACCTACGGATATCCTACAATGTCTACTTAGCGGTCTACTCCATTGCTCACGCCCTGCAAGATATATATACCTGCTTGCCTGGGAGAGGACTCTTCGCCAACGGTTCCTGTGCTGACATCAAGAAAGCTGAGGCTTGGCAGGTATATCCTTCACTTAAATAGCAGTTCTCTGTGTAATAAAGCAGACTTTGGCTGATTCAGGTAAAGCACATTAAATGGTAACCTAAAAAAAGACAAGATCTCAATAAGATCACTAAATGTAGCTTTGTTTTCAAATCGCCCTTTCAAACATCTGAGCGACTGACTTCTGAACTACTTACTGATAGTAATTTAGCTTGATTATCCATTTAAAGCTTTAGCTCCACTATTCTTTAGCATAGTGGTTCGGAACATCACGAGAGTATGGCCCTTAAAAGATTTTTAATATCCTGTGACAGATTTAGTACTGAGTAGAGGATGTTTTTCTAACACTTTAAGGTAAAGGTACTGTTCTTTTGTGAATAACAATTATTTGTTGAGTACCTATTATGGTCCATATGCTATCAGACATAAAGCTAGTGTTAGTGTGTTTAGTCTCCACTTTTACCATTATATTACTCAAAACATAGCATGCCGGACCACCCGACCTGCCAACTAAGCTTAGGACACAAGCAAATCAAAGACACAGAAACAACTTGCCTTAAAATGATTTGATATTGGCTATTTCAAAAAGAAGCGCTAAAATAGTTACAATAGAAAATAATCAGAACTTAAATAGAATTCCAACACTCATTCTATAGTTTAGTCTAGTGTCTATATTTTCTTAGCAACACATAAGAGAGACATCCTAATCTTTTCATTTTATAGAACTGAAGATAAAAGTCTGGCCTTACATCTTACATAGCATACTTGTCTTGCATATTATCTTGTTGATTTTTATCTTTTGTTTTATTTTATTTTTATTTCAGCATTGTTGTATACAATACCATATTAGTTTCAGGCATGTGATATAGTGGTTCTATCTTACAACGTGATCACCACACTAGTAACCATCTACATTCCCTTTCACCTTTCACCCATCCCTCCGCCCCCTCAACCCTCTGTATCTCTGTGTCTGTGAGTTGATTTTTGTTTGTCTGGTTTTTTAAAAATATTCCACATATAAGTGAAACTATACTATATTTGTCTTTTTCTGACTCCATTCACTTAGCATAATATTCTCTAAGACCATCCATGTTATTGTAAATGTCAGGATTTCATTCTTTTTATTACTGAGTAATATTCCATTGTATATAATTATATACCACGTATTCTTTATTTGAAGAAAACAAAAACACCAATTCAAAAATATATACATGTACTTTTATGTTCGTTGTGGCATTATTTACAACAGCCAAGATATGGAAGCAACCTAGGTGTTTGTTGATAGATAAATGCACCCTGATATTTTAATCAAATCATGTTTTACACTCATTTTGTATTTTTCTTAGTTCCAGGCTGACCAGGGGAGAGACTGAATGATAGGAGGGGGAGGAGGGAGTCCCTGAATTTAGCTGAATGACCCAACCTCCAGCTTCAGCTCTAGCTCCTGAATTTTCTAACTGCATCTGCTTAGGCAAGCTGCTACTCTAAGACAGTTTCTTTTTCTGTAAAATGACCCTAAGTTCTAGCCAACTGTCCACTCTAGGTTCTTCTTAAGATGAAATGAGATGATATATGTGAACACAATCTGTAAATTTTTAAGCTCTAAATAAATGGAGATTATTATAGTCAGCAATACGCCTCTAATCAATTAATCAATTAGGCCAAAATAACTAAAATAACTTTGTATACAGAACCCAACCACATAGACCCTTGGGAAAAGATACCAAGAAACCAAGAGTGTACAACCGGTGTCGGTTATTTTAGAGATTCTCAGGGGATAAGGAGTGACTGTCCAGACTTGGCAGAATGAGTCAGGACCTACAAGTATTTAGTTGTTCTGGTGTGGGAAAAATCTCACTCAGGCATCATTGTTGGCTAAAGTTTCTAATCTCTATGAGGTCCTTAAAGTTTCCTTCCTTGCACTGCACTCACCCCACCCACACCCTCAACCCTGTCAAAGAAAGAAGAACTCTAATGAAGGTCAAAGACCAAAAAGACTTCAGCAGCCATGAGGTTAAGTTGTGAAGTTTTAAGAAGGAATGAAGAGACAATCTTCGAGTAAATACTATTGTCTTTTCTCTCTTTCTTTACATGTCCTCTGGAAAGAGGAACCCAGCCTTTGAAAGCCTATAGAATCAGGGTGGGGTTGAGGGAAAAGAGGCTTCCAGTGGGTAACTTGACAGTTCTGCTCTTCAGTGAATCTTCTCCCAAACAAGGAAGTAAGATCCAGATGGTCAAGATCAAAGCCTGGACATGGAGAGAAAAAAAAAAAAAAAAAAGGCGAGAATTGGGCTATCATCAAATAGGGACTTTTAGTTGCATACTATAGAAAACCCAAACCAACCTGCTTAAACAGAAGAAGGAACATTACTAGTAGCTTATAACACTGAAAATCTCAGAAGCATTCCAAGTACAATAGATGATTTCATCTCCAACTCTGTTACTTATTCCTCAGAATTAACAGTTTTCAGCCTCTGCAGAAGCTTTAGGTTCATGAACTCCTTGCTTCCCAGGATCTCCTGTAAAAATCCCACGCTTCACATCTATTGGCCAGTCCAGGGCCACATATTCACCCCTGAAACTAGGAGTGGAGTCCTCCCAAACTACCATATTATGGCAAGGCAGGGAACAGATCCCCCAAGTTAAATTCAGGATGCTATTACCAAAAGGAGGAGAAAAGAGAAGCAAAGCAGCCAAAATAAAGTGTCTGCTACACAGACACCTCAGCTGACCCTCGTACAGGCAAAGCTGGGACCTCCTGACTGACACACAGTCTGGTACAATTCATCTGGGAGAGGAAACCGGAAAACAAGGTCAGAGCTCTGAGGAAGAATAACACGCAGGCATTAGCCAAAATGTGATGAGTGCTTGCTGTAAATCTCCTTTGAGACTTCAGACTCCAGGCAGTTGGGCGGGCATTCCAGAATTAAACATCTTGGCCACGTCTCAGAAGACAAACCAGCAATTCTTACTAAGCAATTCTTATCAACACTCACTATTAAGACCTGCATGAAGACCCATCACCCCTACAATCTATACAATATAGTCCAAGAATCTCGGTCTGGAATTCCACCCTGACTTCTCTCAACTGCCTTATAAGCCAGTCTTTCTGGCATCTCCACACTAAACATTAATTTATTTTGGCATAGAATTTTTGCTAAGACACTATCCCACACCCAAAGAGCCATCAATTTTTGCCTCCCATCATTGTCCACTACAAACTTTTAACTCTTCCAAATTTCACTTTCTCCTGAAAAACGTCTTTTCAAATCATATACCCCCCACACACACTCTAAGACCATTCTTTCTTCCTCATTTTTGCCACTTATATACCCAGCTTAAGCTTACACAGCTCATCATTTGGCTAAAATAGTAAGATCAATTACAATTTTCTTTTGTTGACTTAACCCTCCTAAAATTAATCAACAAACCAATTCATACGCCTTAAAAGTAACACTAACAGGCAATTTATGAGCATAGAAGATGCGCTTTCCTCCTGACCCCCACGGCGATCCCCGAGCCCTCCTCATGCTGCTTGTCAGCTCCCTCTTCACTCTGAGTCCACCGTTGCACTACTCTAAACTTCATGAGAGCAGGAACCATGTTCGTATTGTTCAGCACTGTGTTCAGAACACCTGACACCTGAATATGTGTAGAGTAAATGAGTGGATGAGTAGCAGTCTAATTGATTTGACCTGACAACACTGCCTAGAGTTTTTTTCAGAGAATTGTTCAACCTTGAAACAAACACTGTGGCTGGATATTCTAAGCTCTGATTGGAAGATCCTGGGTCACACGCCCAACAATCAAATTGAATGGAACATCATGTAAGTCAGCATGGAACTGTCTCTTCCTTTTATCAAGATGATTGTGCACCAGACACACTTCCTACTTTCCTCTACCTTGCACAGACCATTCAATAGACAAAAACCAGGTATGCATGGTGACAGAACCATGGCAAAAATAAAAGCCAAACAAAATTGATCTTTCCAGAAATTGCTTGTAGTGTTGGGGGTTGGGAGAGGGAAGGTGAATTGAGGTGAGAACCAAAGGAGATAGAGAAGATGGAGCCAGAAAACAGGGCTGAGGTTAGAGAAGGGAATTGATCTAGGATTTTCCCTACACTTGCAGCACAGGAAGTGGGCAAGAAGCAATAGGCTCCTTATCTGTGTGAACTCTTCCTCATTATCTGTGTGAATGGAGTGTTTTGTGCATCCCACGCCACTTGCCCTCTGTGCTAAGAAGTGATGCCATGTGTAAGAGGTGGAAATTGTAGACAAGAGTGCAGTGGAGAAGGTTTGTAGTCCCTAGTCTTTGGTTTAATTCAATTGACCGATGCCAAGGGGTGATTCCCATTTATGCTTATACCGAGCAATAGTTTGACTTTAAAATCCTTTAGAAGAAATATCCTAAAAGGCCACAAGATGGAAATATTAGCACATAGAAGGTAATAAAATATGTGACCATCTAAGCATGTGCATATTATACATTTTTGTACCTCTTTTCTTATTTTTTTTAATTATTGACACATTTATGCATTCATTGGTTGATTCTCATATGTAACCTGACCAGGGATGGAACCCACAAACTTGGTGTATTGGGACAATGCCCTAAGCAACTGAGCTACCCAGCCAGGGCTATACCTCTTTTATTACATGTCTTCCTCGGTGTTTAGTGTTCTTTGTGAACCTGTCAGTCTCTTTGTGTTTGTATATTACCCTGTATGTTTAAGTTATTTTATTAGCTTTTTCTTCTCTTTTCCCCTTCATTCATTCTTTTTTCCTCGTATTCTTCCTCAAATAAAATAATTTAGAAGATACTATACTGATTTATAACCTCAGTATCATTTCTCATACTTTCTCTTTTAAGGAAGCTATTAGTTTCTTCTTTTAAAACTCTGAAAAAAGAACAATGTTCTTTCTGGGGGAAATATCTCAATTTTTTTGTAACTTGTGTTGCTTTTCTATGTGTCCGTAACTCTCAATTTAAAGATTCTTTACCATTGCTTTTAAGGGTGAAATTGTTTCCAACTCCACCTTACCTGTTATGCAAGGTTACAATGCCAGAAATTAGGTACTCAAATGCAAAACTTGCAAGTAAACATGGCAAAAGAAATATTAAAGATGTCTAATGAGGTAACTTAGACATGTGACTTAGTAAACAAATAATTGATTAATAGGTATAAGTGGACAAGGTGAAATTTTTGACTCATAAAATTCATACTCATGTGATGTTACATATGTACCTGCTGTGAAGATGAAACACTATAGTACTGTTCAGGTTAGGATTTGAAGTAGAAAGAAAATAAAAAATGTCATTCAAGATGAGCCTTGAAGGCTGGATAGGATTTGTGGAAAGGATCTGTTCCTTGGAGGAAAAAATATCCAGACTGAAAAAAAAATAAGAGTTCATGCTGTATGGTTCCATTTATGATATTCTACTTCTAATGAAAGAAGACAGATCAGTGGTGGCCTAGGCTCGCAAGTGGGGGCGGGACTGACTTGGAAGGGGGGACTCAGGGCGCCTTTTGGGATGATGGTAGTGGCAGTTACACAGACACGTACATTTGCCAAAACTCAGAACTACAATCTTAACATGTGTGTGTGTTTTATTCTATGTGAACTACACCTCAGTAAAGTTGACGTAAAATACAAAACAATGGGAAGTCCCTGGGGTGGGAAAGTACAGGCCTTTCGTGGAGATTTGGATGTCATTCGGTTTCGACCACCGTTCTGATTATGGCCTCTTGGATTGCCATGAGCTTTTTACATGTGTCTACCATTCCGCTTTTTAAACACGCCCATTTTCTCAACTTCAATTTTACACAAGTTAACCTGTTGTAACTAGAGATGCACAACTTAATAGATAGACTATCTAATTTGACTTCTATACCTGAATAGGTAATATATAGTGTAATGGTTGAGAGTCTGGACTCTAGGACCGGACTAACTGGATTTAAGTCCCATTTGCTACCTAATAACTTTATAACCTGGGGAAGTCACTAAATGTGCCTCAATTTCTTCACCTCAAAAAAATGGCAGTAATGGAACTTATAGATTTATTATGAAGATAACATTGGTTAAAATGTATACGGTGTTTAGTATACTGCCTATATATGTTAAGTGTTCAGTAAATCTTAGTCTTGAGTATTATTGTTTTGTAGGTGAGGAAAGACTCAGGCCAAAATTATTTTCCCAAAGTCATATAGCTAGCTGGTAAGAAAGGCAACAGCCCAGGTGGGCTGTTCCCTGATGAGGCCAAGGTAACAGTTAAAAGAACTGTGCCCAGTTGTCCCTCTGGGCACATGCTCTCTAGTTCCTGAGAGGTAAGCCAGATCAGCTGATGGTTTCATAGTGAAGACTAAGGTCCATAGCCTTAAGCCCTGGGCATTCCCCAGAGTAAACCAAGTGTCCTGAACTCTGGTTCACACACAAACACAAAAAGAAATACGGTCTGTGCAAGTAAGTGAGAGTGGATGTCAGAGTATTTGAACATCTACCTGCCCATCTTGAACACTACTGTATATCTTATCCCTAAAAAAAGTGCCTGCTTCACCCATATTGGTTACCCAATAAATACTTGTTGAATGAACAAATAGGTAAAGGAAGAGAATGGGACAAAGGTAAATACTGAGCGAAGACTGGGGTTAAGTGGATGACGAGGACAGTACATGGGCATGGACCGAGAAAACAGAGAAGGTAAGTGGTCTTAGAGAAGCTGGCAGTAAATTTTCACACAATAAAACTGCAATAATTTTGACTTCATAAATTTGGGCTGAATTTGGCCTCTTCATTATCAATGAGTTGAGTGACTAAGGGAAGACACCACTTTGGTAAAACTTTACAAGTATAAACAGGATTATTGAGACAAAGATCAAGAAACGACTACATTTTAAATTCTTATTTTTAAAAGTTGACACAGGCTTCCTAAGAACCTTTATCAGGACCAATGGATTAGCCTAATTCATACCAATAAGTATGCCTAAAAGAAGAAAAGAACCTTTTGTAAACCCATTTTGGCCTTTTTTATTAAGAGAAGGAGGAGGAAGAAGAGGAGAAAAGCCGGTCCTTCGTTCAGTCAGTCTGAATTAATTTATTATAGCTAATTGAATAATTCTGGGTTCTCTCTATATTAAAAGACTTCCAGTCCTTCAGTCCAGCCTTTCATTGCTCCCTTCATCTTCCGGCACACTGCTGTCATCGTTCTTATATGGGAAAGTTGTTTTTCAGACGTACCCTTCTCTTCAGGCAGCTCTCAGCTGTTACTAAAACATCATTGTGTTGTGGTGACTCCAACTTCCCTTTACCTCACCAAGGCGGTAGAAGTTTTATAATCAATTTATTCCACATTTTGAACATTGCAGGTGTGTCCAAACTTTTGGCGTCTCTGAGCAACACTGGAAGAACCGTTGTCTTGTGCCACACATTAAATACATTGCGACATGTAATCACAAAAAAAATCTCATATTTTAAGTAAATTTATGAATTTGTGTTAAGGCTGCATTCGTAGCCATTCTTACCCATATTATGGCCCACAGGCCACAGGTTGGACACCCCAGAACCAGAAATTAAATGTATGCTCTTAATCAAAACATGACATACAAAATATAATATTTAGCTGCAGCTTTCTTAAAAGATCACAAAGAAAATATTTCCCCAGAAAAATTCCTCTTTCTTTAATGAAGAGAAAGTTAACATTTTATCCAATGAAAACTATAATTCTCCTGATATGTCTACTGTACCATATGTCTTCTGATGTCTTAAGTAAAATCACTTAGTGCATTTTAAAACAAATGTTGCTAATAGTTCCCTGTCTGCCTGCTTGTTTTTCTTTTTGTTTTAATCTAGAGGCTTTATTTTTCTTTTTAAATCAGAATACAAGAACATAGATTATAATTATAGCTCAAAGGGAAAAATTGTGTTGACCCTTTAAACCCATTCTACAGTTTTCAGTAATTTGCTTTTCAACACACACACACACATATATATATATGTGTGTGTGTGTATATATATATATATATATATATATATATATATATATTTAAGTTCCAGTAGATTACATAAAAGCCTTAATTTTTATGGTCCTTAATGTAAGTTTTTCAAAAAGTGAATCCTTTGCCTTTTCACTTGATTGGAAAGTTCTTTTGTTCATTTGTTTGCTTGTTTGTTTTTGTTTGAGTGTAGAACTTAGACCCCTGTGTTTTCAGTGAGAATCAGCCTGACTCAGTCCAGCTGCTCTGGTGAGAACGCCCAATGCGGGACAGCCAGAGTGAGAACAGACATTCTTGTCTCATTCCTGATCTTAGGAGGAAAGCCATCTTTCACCATTAAGTATGATGTTGGTAATGTCGGTTTTTCATAGACGCCCTCTCTAGGGTTGAGGAATTTCCCTTTTATTCCTAGATTGCTAAGAGTTTTAAACCAGAATGGAGGCTCGATGTTTTAAACACTTTTTCCATATCCACAGAGATGAACATATGGTTTCTCTTGTATAGCATGTTAGGGTAAAAACTAACCTTGAGATCCTGCGATAGAAGTTACTTGGCCACAGTGTATTTTCCTTTTCGTAGTTAGCTAGATTTGATTTGAGGTGCAGTGGAAGTGAGTACCCCTGCACTCGCAGGCTAGCTTGTGTCTCACTCTTTCTTGGTGCCTCATTGACCCCTAGCACTGGCCAGATCCTGCATGAAAGACAAGCTGCTGAGTGCCTGCTGCCTCGTCCTGACCCATGTCAGGGGCATGCAGGCAGCAGTGCCAGGAGCCTGACGATGCTGCTGTAGAGCATGGCCAACAGAGCACAGGCTCTGCACCCCCTGCGAGCTGTGTCACCCTGGAAAAGATACTTTTGTTTTACGTGCCTCCGTTTCCCCATCAATAAAATGGGATAATAGCACTACTTGTTGTGAAGATTGGATTAGATAGTAAATGTAAAGTATTTAGCGTTGTTCCTTAAAAGGAGTAAAATGACTAGGAAGGTTTAGTAATTATTATGTTACCTTTTTTGTGTGAGGGCTTTGTGACCCACAATAGTTCATGATTGGCCATAACTGTTACAACAGGAGCCCATTCACAGCCTCATTTATTCCTTCCTCCCACTCCCCTTGCTCTGATTTTTGGTGGCAAGACACTTCTGCAGAAGCAGTGGCACGGAGAAGATGGTGCAGTTCGTAAGAGCTCTTAGCGCCTCCACCCTTTCTCCAAAGCCCATTTCAGAAAACGCTAAGAATGGGCTCTGGCCAGAATGTCACCTTGCTCTTGGGGCACCATCAGGTGACAATGTACCCACACTAGCCTTGTCTTGGTCTTTGGTGAGACATATCCCTTCTCCCTTCCTAATTTCAAATAAGTGTTTCCTACCCCAGGCACAATGTGAGTACCACGTAAAGCCCCTAGCTTACCAGGGCTGCCACTAACACATGCAAGTACCCTATTATAAATTAGAAAAAGGTGTCTCTTCCTCAAGTCATGTTCCTTCCACTTTGTTAGAAGATAGTTTACTGTCCTTGCACAGTGCAGAACCTACACAACCATATGCAGCAGCCCTGTGGCTTATACTCAGAATATTCATCTCTGTTCCTCTTTAGGTCCTGAAGCACCTACGTCATCTAAACTTTACCAACAATATGGGTGAACAGGTGACTTTTGATGAATGTGGTGACTTGATGGGGAACTATTCCATCATCAACTGGCACCTCTCCCCAGAAGATGGCTCCATTGTATTTAAGGAAGTCGGATATTACAACGTTTATGCCAAGAAAGGAGAAAGGCTCTTCATCAATGAGGAGAAAATCCTGTGGAGTGGGTTCTCCAGAGAGGTATGTGCTTGCCATCAAAACACCAGATGCCTCCACCATGGCAGGAAACTGCTGGGTTTCAGAGGGCCTTGGACTTGTTACCACAGGACTTCTAGAATAATGAGGCCACTTCCCTCAACTCACTCACTCTGCACCACCAGGGCTTCCTGTGAAATCCATGAGTGTTTAGTGTACAGAAGAGAATCCTCAGAACCTGCGCCCCATGGTTATTATGTTGAAATTACTTTATTGTTTACAAATCTGACTCCCTGGTCAGTCAGTTTCCTTGACTAATACTATCCTCAACCAGAGCAAAATATTTAAGCAAAATATTTAAGCAAACATAAACATCGCTCAAGGCAGAGCTAGTTCCTTGTGATCCAAACAGCTCAGGGCTGCTGACCTGTCAACCAAAATGACATTTTGTTTTGTTCCTTGGGAGATCTGTAACAAATAGGAAATCTGTGTGACCACGATCAGGATCACCTCCCCTGAATACCCCTGCATCTAAATGCCCGATTAATAGCCAGAAGCCCATCACCCGGTGAACATGCACTCCAGGAGGAAACATCAGCTATGCTGTAATGATGACCGTTCCATGGTGGTTGCGTCCCCAAATGTAGCAGGCTGCTGATGACCCAGGTCCTCTGCAGAAACAATGCTGGATGGGGCATTCTCTTTAACTCTCCCAAGAGGCCTGGATAAGACCTACTACGTTACTCTTCGTATTAGCCTGCCTTTCAATATCACCTTTGAGCATCTTAAATTACTTTTTATAACATGACCAAAGATTCAACTTCATCTTTTCACCAAATACTCTTTAGGTTGGTGGGTTTCTGATCAGATGCTACAATTTCATTATCTCCCAATATGTAGGATAGTTACCCATGCAAAGGTTTCCTATAGATAGTGAATCTTACCCACATTGTGTGAGCAATTGCGAGCTTCTACCTCAGAGGGTGGGCTCTCAGTCATGAATATGTTATGACCCTTTCCAGACAGAGATTTGGGTGCTCCAGAGGCTATATAGCTGTCCACTAATTATACCCTTGTCTAAGCTATCACAAGTTTCAACTGACCGGAATCAAAATACTATGATCAGCTATACTATCACTAATTTCCTGCTGTTGAGTCAACCAGCTTATCTTCTACCTCCATTAATGCACATAATTGTCTCTAACTGGTATATATCTCATCTCCCTTTCTGTATGGAAACTATTTCCTGTACAGGTTTCTATAACCCTAATGTCCTCTACCAGCCTGTGCACGCCATGGGCTTGAACACTAGTAAGTGAATCACAGGGAATCATCATGAATTTAGTCATTTACGTTTCTGGGATAGTTGACAGAGTTATAAATTAAATCTAATTTTTCTGTAGAAACATACCTCAAACCTAGCGCACATAAGCACTCAACGAATATTAGAATCTAGTCCACTCTTTTTATCCCATGTTTTTTGTACAAATGACCATAAAAATTCCATATATATTTAACTATAAATAATGTACTAATAACTTCTCTACATAGCTCACATTTGTTAATGAGATCAAAGAAGCAAAAACATACTATAAACTAATTATACTATATAAATGAAAACTGTTATTAATATTGCATTATAATATCTTAATCAATGTGCCAATTTACTTTCTCATGAAGCACTTTAGAGCTAGGGGGTCTTTAAATATCTTTGTATCCAACACCCCAATTTAAAATTAATGACACCAAGGTTCAGGGAGGCAAAGGTTCCTTGCAAGACCAGATGGTCACTGTAAGAGCTGAGACTAGGATCCAAGTGCCCTGACTCTGATCCCAGGGCTCCATCCCCTACCCCAGTGATTTTCAACCTTTTTCATCTCATGGTAGACATAAACTAATTACTAAAATTCTGTGACACACCAAAAAGTATATAATAATTTTGGGCCATCTGACAAAACAAAAATAGGTATAATTTTGATTTATTCATACCAAACAGTTTTGGTGTTGGCTGTTGTACACACACACACACACACACACACACACACACTCTCTCTCTCTCTCTCTCCCTCTCTCTCTCTAAAGGAAAAGAGATCAATGCCCCTGACTAAATAGTCAAGTATTATGTGTTTTAAAAATTCTTGTGGCACGCAAGTGTGCCCTAGCATACCAGTTGAAAATCTCTGCTCTACGCTATACTCTCCATAGTTATTTCATTTTTTTATTGCAACAAATGAGAAGGAAAAGACACATCTTCATTGGAGACTTCAAATACAGATGGGCTTCCTTGGGCAAAATTGGATAGGCATCTTTAATGAAGCTCTTAGGGAGACTTGAAGATACTTGCTGGCTATTTGCAAAATGAATCCTTCTGGTCACTGCCTCAGCCCACTCCTTTGGTGGTAAGATTTCTTTTTAGCTGAGGAATGCAGGAGGGTGCAGTAAGAGAGCTCAGATGGCGGATTTCTACTAATCACTGACTACTATAAAGCAGGATTTGATACAGTGAAAAGTGCAGACTTTGGAAAGCTAACCTGGGTGTAGAGGCCAGCTCTCCCATAAGTCACCGTATGACCATGAGCCTATTTTCTAACAATTATGAAGAACAGAAAAGTCTCTGCATGGCAGAGACTATTAGAGGACCCCAATATTTGTTCTCCCCCTTTTTCTTTAACAAAAGAAATCAATTTTGGCTGGGCACACGACCACCCAGAATAAAAATATTTCCCAGTCTCTCTTTCAGCTAAGTGTGGCCATATGACTAAATCCTTGAAATGGAATGCTTGTGGCAGGGTTATGTGCTGGAGTCTGGGAACCTTCTTTTAAGAAAGTGCTTGCAGGGATCCTTTGATCTCTTCATCATCCCTTCCTCAATCCTCCTCCCTGGAACCAGATGCTACCATTAAGAACTATGACACCAAGACCAAATACGGCATACCAGCAAGGTAGAAAGAATCTAGGTCTCCGGTACCATGGAGTGTCATCTCAATTTGGACCACCTCCCCAGACATGAATATCTGAGAAACTGATTTCAGTGTTATACAGCCACTGTTATTTTGAGGTATTTTACCACCCACAGATTAAACAGAAGACAAAGGGAAAGCTACTAAAATCATTTTATGAAGCTAAGAAAGTTTTGACAACAATATCAGACAAGGATAAGGCAAGCAAATACAATTATAGACCAATCTTATTTAAAAGCACAAATACACAAATCCTAAATAAAATATCAGCAAACCTAGACCAGCAGTGAAAAAATATATAACACACCATGACCCAGTAGAGTTTACAGGATTGCAGTGAATTTACAGGAATATGATAGCCCAACATTATGAAGTTTATAAATGTGGCCTACTGCATTAACAGAACAAAAGAGAAAAAAATCTACTGTAACACAGGTGGCAAACAAAAGGCCTGCAAGCTGAATTCTGCCCTCCACCTTGTTTTATCTGGCCCAGAACCTTGTTTCTACCTGGCAGCAGCACTGAGCTCTTTGCCCCTGATTAAGGAGTAGTTGCATTTACACAGTCCTAAAATTACATTCGAACTTTTGAAGGCAACCACGAATCTGATGTGGCCCCTAGTGAAAATAAGTTTCCCACCCCTGTACTATAAGGTCAATAGATACAGAGAAAGCATTTAATAATATCCAGCACCCCTTCAGATTAAAAACAATACTCTATATCTAGGAATAGAAGGAACCGTACTTTACCTTACCTGGATAAAGGGTAGAACAACTATCATTCTTTAATAGGAAAAATTTAGAAGTATCAATTTTCATTAGATAATCAAGCGGGTTGGTAACTCGAGAAGGAGTCAAACAAAGTCTCTGAGGGTGGCTTGTTACCACAGTTGAACGGGCGAATGTGTACTGACTTTGACTACATCTGTTCCTTTCCTTCTCAAGGTCCTGAGAGGCTTAGCAATCATCAGGTCCAATACTGCCATTTCTAGTCCTCTTTTGTTGAAAGATAATGCCAATCATCTTCTATTCCAATTTTTTAAAACTTCTCATGTAACCAGTTATTTCTTTCCTGTTAGAAGCAATTATGATGATGTCGTTGCTTTCCATGTGTTTAACTTTGTGAGATGCCTCCAATGCAAGCAGGTTGGTGGGGGGGAGGGACAGAATCTTATTAAAGAAACAGTTTGGAAATAGTATCAGCCCTATTATCTACCATGTGTTATGCAAGTCTTTTTACCTGGTGGGGGGGGGCTACAAAGATGAATAAGACCTGCTCCCTACCTGCAAAAGCACATGCTTTTGCAAGATAAACTGTATTTTATGGTATATTTATTATCTCTGATACAGATAGACTTTTAAGATCTAAATATTAATGATTTCCTGGAGGAAGTTCTCAGTAGCTTGGCATGGTGAGAGAATGAGATAGAAGCAGAGTTTCTGAAATGGTGAAGCAACGTTAAATTAGACAAAACTGGCAAAAATGACATTCTAAAAGTCCTGAAAATCAATAGCGGCATAAAATAAAAGGCAAAATGTTTTTTTAAGAAAAACCAGCCCTGGCTGGTGTAGCTCAGTGGATTGAGCTCAGGCCTGTGAACCAAAGGATCGCAGTTCGATTCCAAGTCAGGGCACATGCGTGGGTTGCAGGCCAGTTTCCAGCAGGGGACACACAAGAAGCAACCATACATTGATATTTCTCTCCCTCTCTCCTTTCCTTTCCATCTAAAGATAAATAAATAAAATCTTAAGATTAAAATATTTAATTAAAAAAAAGAAAAAGAGGAAAAATCCAAGATGGCAGCAGAGTAGGTAGAAGCTACAATCACCTCCCTGCAAGAACTAAACTGGAATTACAACTGAAATACACAACAATCAACCTGAATAACCAACTTAAGACAAGTTAAACCAGAGTCTTATAACCAAAACTTTACAGAAGCCACATCAAGACTGATAGGAAGGGCAGAGAGAGAATAAGGGCTGGTCCTACTCCCAGGGGAACTGGCTGAGATCCCAGAGGGATATTGTAGCTGCAAATGTTCCACCAGAGGAGCATGGGGTGTCAACCCCACAAGAGCACCAGAGC